GCATTTCTTTTCAAATGGTAGAGAATTCCATTGACGTACGACGTATCATATCTATTTCTATATCAAAAATGAATCCTCTTGCGCACGCAATGCCATTTTCACAATATTTGCAATTTCTATGAATAACACATGGTAGATGTAAGATGATGTAAGCATGTAAAATCTGCCCGTCAAAATCGCACATCACTTCTCCGAATATGTCAATGGATTGGTTTGTTGGGGAAAATCTTCACCGGAAACCATAGATTTTCCCATCTGGTTGGTGGTATACCTACCCCTCTGAAAAATATGAAAGTCAAATGGGATTATTGTTCCCAATAATATGGAAACATATAAAATGTTCCAAACCACCAACCAGCCATTATTTTTTGGGGCTTTCCTGTAAATGTCCCCTTAAACCAATCCATAGAATCACCGGCCACCAGCCTCGCTCCGTTCCAGGTCCCGCAAGAGTCGAGATAAGGCCTGCACGGGAGTTTTTGGTGAAAGTGTTGCAATTGGTGAACAAAATTGACTTTTTTCAACAACATGGGTTTGTCTGAAAATAGGGTATATTCCCAATTATAGCCATTTAATAGGGATAATGATCATTAACCATTGGGTTTAGGGGTACACTATTTTCAGACACACCCACATCAACATATAATAATTATGTTGTTTGATGTTGTTGTTTTTTCGAACATATGTGGTAAACACAATAAACATCAATAAACCAGACCTGATTTCACCAGGAATGATGAGTGGCATAAAATATCAAAACATCCAAATTTGGGGTTATTGGCTTCACCCCATGTGATGACTTTGATGGAGATGGACGAATCTGCATTGTGCTTGATGACAGATTTGTTTGATAACATAAATCGATCACATGCTATGACAAATTTGCCGAGCTTGATACTCGCTCAAGGACATGATTCCATATGATTCCCATATCAGGCTTCACAAAGACCCATGTCAATGCCATATCCTGATCTATTCTGGCTTATTTAAAAAAAACCTGTGCTTACAGTAGCTCGTGTATCGGTATTGGTTGTGATTCTAAAACCATTCTTAGCATCCTCCCAGTCTCCCAGTCATGGGCATGAAAAGTAGGGTTGGGTTCTTAATGGCCGACTGGCCGAAACCCAATGGTTGGGAATAGCTATCTTTCCATTGGAATGGAACCTAAACATGACTCTGCCCGACCTGTCACATCCGGCGGAACATCAAGTTGTCTAATGTTGCTTGGTAGACGTCAGTTGAATCCTCATCTGGTTGGTGGTATACCTACCCTGAAAAATATGACTGTAGTCAGTTGGGGCCCGGTGACATTCCCAACTGAATGGAAAGTCATAATCCAGCCATGTTCCAGTCACCACCAACCAGATATAGATCATGGGAAAGCACCATTTTATAGCTGGGTAAATCCACTATTTCTATGGTGATTTTCCACACACTTTTCCCGAGATCTTCATTTTTGGCGATGGAATCAGGTGACCAAATCCCCTCCTTTCCAGTCGAATCTCCAGCCTCGGCGTCCCCCCGCGCGGCGGCACGGTGTAAGCCATCCGCCCGAACCTGGAACCAGCGAGGGATTTCTGTTGGCCTTGTGTTTTTTCTAGCATTTCTAGGGTTTCATAGGGCTTCATGGAATAATTCCATTGGGATTTGTAGAAGTGACTCTATTTTTCTGGATTTGATGGGGTTCTGGAAGGGCTTTGTGAGGGGGTTTTACTGCCTTTCCCCCTTTCTTTTCTTGGCAAAGAAGCATCACCCAAAACAGTTGAAGGTTTACCTAACAAATTTTGGGACTTTACTTCAATGGAAACTCTAGCTTGAGAATGGGATTGAACCGAGAACATGTTGAATGTCCTAATCATCTTAATGTACCAAAGACTTCCTTCAAGGATATTGGCATTCTAGTTTGTAAAATATATTCCTGGTTGGTGGTATACCTACCCCTCTGAAAAATATGAAAGTCAGTTGGGATTATTATTCCCAATATGTGGAACAATAATCCAAATGTTCCAAACCACCAATCAGATTCTAATTACATGGTATCCTCTGGGGGATTCCAACAGAACCATTCTATCCAGCTCCAAAAACACAGAACGGGATTTCATCAAGCACAATGGATGGATTGGGGAGTCTTGACAGCAAATACAATGATATGTATAGTATATATATATACATACATATATAATAACTGCAATAACATAAACACATAGTCCATTATGAATGTGTTTAAGACCATCACAGCCGACATACTGGAGATGTTCAAGTCTTTATATTGGTTCGCCTATGGTGTATTTTCCTGTCGTCACTTATGGTGTGGACACGGCGATGAGATCACTACTTAAATCATCCAAAAACGGATCGATGGCCAATAACTTGAATGGTTTGATTTACACTACAGCACTCTTTGGTAATTTGACACGAGGATAGAGAAAAGACATCGACCTTAACTCCATTGCCTTGTTTTGTCTGAAGGCTAATGGCCCATCCTATCTTCAGAATGGAATTGGACACTTCAATGCTGGTCTGGATTCTTGTTTCCAGCCTGCATCATCATCCCCAACATCCCCAACATCAATGTTGCTTCCAACACCCCAAATACCAGGATGGTAGAGTCGCTCAATAGAGATGTCAATTAAACCTAGCCGACTGTGGGAATCAGTTACTTTGCTTGGAACAACCATATCGAATCCCGAGAGAAATCTGGGTCGAAAGCCCACCAATACCCTCCAGTAAATTAACAGTTCGACCCTGGCAGTCATCGGGCTTGGAAGACTAGTGTCCATAAAAAAAAATGGTGATTTTCAGGGTCCAACTGTTTGTTTACCAGAGGGTATATCCCCATAATCACCTGTGCCACGTGAAGCTGAGCCAATGAGAAGGACATCAGGTGGTACAACAGGACCGAGGCAAAGCCCAGCAACAGCCTCGGATGCCGCTAGGGGAGATCTGCGGGATATCATTGGGATAGAACCTACATAATTACTCTATGTCATCATATATATATATATATGTATGTATGTATGTATGTATGTATGCATGTATGTATGTATGTATGTATGTAGGTACTATACATGTAGGATATACCTGAGATATATGGAGATATGATATAATATGATATTTCAGATTACTCTGAGAAAATGGGATACGCTCTTAATGATCTTGATGCCAAGTAAAACTCATGCCTAGCCCAAAGCAAATTGACAGCCCAAATCTGCATGATCTGGGTCTAGAGCCTTGCATTAGCACGAGACACGAAAACAAGAGAAAACCGAGAGCATTTCACTGCTTTCCTGCTGTGGCCTAAAGAACAAAGAGTCTGGCAAAGGGCCACCAACATATGCTCTTGTTGGCCACGAAGTGACAATTCTATCACTCAAACTTGCTGGGTAGTAGCCATGGCTTTCCTAATGGGGTTGCTAATGCAGCAGCCAATTTATGCCCCAATTCTATCATAGGAGAATAAAGTGGCTTCGCCTGAACATAGGGTACTCAATAGGCTACTCCAACATTTCATGATTTATCAGAAGTTTATCAGAATCATTCCCATTAAACTAGCCAATCATTCCCATTAAACTAGCCATAAGTTGCCATAAGGAAAAGGTGTCCCCCATATTCAGCCAGACATTTTCAGCCAAGCGCACAGAGAGTTGCGGCCATCGGCAAGGAAGAGCTGCAGCTCTTTCCAACCTAAGTTCTTTCGCTGAGACCCTTGGTGGCCCCTCGGATTACCCTTTGGTAATCGTGGCAATTGAAAATCCTACTCCACCAATGATGAACAAGTGCCATATAACTGATAAGGAATGGTTGAAACATGTTGAAACCAGTACACGCATTGATGTATATATATATATACATATGTGAATTGGTTGTTAATTACAGATGATTATGAACCTACCTGGTCTATTGGTCTTAACGTGGTTTAAACATGTTCAACATGGTTAAACATGTTAAACCTCAAGCCCCATCGTCAGATGGCGAATCACCCAGAAAAACTGGGGCGATGGCTTCGCACGGGTCCATGCCTGCAATGCATGAAGGGTGCAGGGTGCCATGAACATGTCACGAACGGCGGACCTAGCGATGATATCTTGACGCGTTTTCCAACCCCGTGGAAAATCCCATGCTTAGAGAAAATCGCCTGGTTTTCCCATGGTTTACCATGGTTTCCCCGGATTTTCCTGGCGAAATTTTCGCGGGTTTCAACCCCATCCGACCCGCCTCGGTTCGGAGGACCAAAGTCCGACCTGATCAAAGACTTCTCTGGTTCCATAGAGGGGTTGAACATTCAACGAAGAGTTGACCACGGTTACCTCCACTTCAACACCATCCATTCAACAGATGGTACCTGTACTTGGAAGGATATCCGTCTAAGCACCGTAAAAAACTTACGTTGGACCCATAACCAGTGGCTGCTCATTTTGGCTATCGCACAATCCAATTCTTGTAAGAAATCATGTCTGCGTTCCTGCAAGAAAACATTTTGCGGTTCAACTATGCTAGAGCTGACAAAAAATCGAATCAACAAGAATGTTCAAACACTTTCAAAAAGAAAAAGGACCCAAACAAAAGCATCTCATTTTTTTGAGATAACACATCTGGAAACGACACATAAAAAACAACAGGGGTAAAACATCAAGCGTATTCAACTATAAAACCCCAGGAAAAGAACAAAATATCAAACACCTAAGTAAACTAACACTAAACTTTGGTAGTCAAAATGCTGTTTACGATGATTTCACACAAAAACGAAAGGATTAAACTACCCAGGACTACCCATCCAAAAACAGAATGGATTTCTTGGATTATGAGTGATCATCCCCATGAAAATGGTAATTAGATATACAGTATATTAAATGGGGATGATCATTCATAATCCAAGAAATCAGAATACACCATTAAAAGTTATCTAATTTAATTACCATGTTCAGCTTATGGATTATGGTTTTTGTCCATTTTCAGACACAGCGAAGTAAACTGACTTTCACCAGGGGATACCCCCGGGCTGCTTTTTGCTTCCTGAGCTTCCAAACCATCCACATCCCTGCACCCAGCATGGCCGCAAGCAGTTCCAGGTGCCGTAGCCAGGCTAAGCGTCGAGTCACCTGGCAACTAAGCGCCGCGGGGCATGTCCTCCAATGATTCCTTGGAAAAAACCATTGGAAAACAAAAAGCTAGTGATTATGGTGATTCTCCTTGGTGATTTAGTGTGATACCTGGAGATCATTGGAGTCCCAACAACCAAAATCCACCAGACTTTCAAAAAGGAGTCCGGTGGAACCATGAACTTCACCCACCACGGCCCTTGGGATTCAACATTCGATATTTTCCATGATATTTTCCATGGTGATTCCACATACCCTCTGGTAAACATACAAAAAGCTATGGAAAATGGCCATAGAAATAGTGGATTTTCCCATTAAAAATGGTGATTTTCAATAGCTTTTTGTATGTTTACCAGAGGGTATCCAATCATTTCCATGGTGATTCCACATATGTGTTTATTCACCAAAATTCAAAAGAAAGGTGATTCACTGGAAAAAGAAATTGGATAAAAACCAGTGACATCCTGAGTATTTTTTGTTGACCAAAAGAAAAGGTGATTCCACGTGACATCCTGAGTATTTTATTCAAAAGAAAGGTGATTCACTGGAAAAAGAAAATTGGGTGATGCAGGTGGAGTTCACAAGATTGGATAAAAACCAGTGACATCCTGATATTTTTTTTTGACCAAAAGAAAGGTGATCACTTGGAAAAGAAATTGGATAAAAACCAGTGACATCCTGAGATTTTTGTTGACCAAAGACAGGTATTCACTGGAAAAAGAAATGGATAAAAAACAGTGACAACCTGAGTATTTTTGTTGACCAAAAGAAAAGGTGATCACTGGCAAAAAAAATTGGATAAAAACCAGTGACATCCTGAGTATTTTTTGTTGACCAAAAGAAAAGGTGATTCACTGGAAAAAGAAATTGGATAAAAACCAGTGACATCCTGAGTATTTTTTGTTGACCAAAAGAAAAGGTGATTCACTGGAAAAAGAAATTGGATAGAAACCAGTGACATCCTGAGTATTTTTTGTTGACCAAAAGAAAAGGTGATTCACTGGAAAAAGAAATTGGATAAAAACCAGTGACATCCTGAGTATTTTTTGTTGGCCAAAAGAAAAGGTGATTCACTGGAAAAAGAAATTGGATAAAAACCAGTGACATCCTGAGTATTTTTTGTTGACCAAAAGAAAAGGTGATTCACTGGAAAAAGAAATTGGATAAAAACCAGTGACATCCTGAGTATTTTTTGTTGACCAAAAGAAAAGGTGTTTCACTGGAAAAAGAAATTGGATAAAAACCAGTGACATCCTGAGTATTTTTTGTTGACCAAAAGAAAAGGTGATTCACTGGAAACAAACATTAGATAAAAACCAGTGACCTCCTGAGTATTTTTTGTTGACCAAAAGAAAAGGTGATTCACTGGAAACAAACATTAGATAAAAACCAGTGACATCCTGAGTATTTTTTGTTGACCAAAAGAAAAGGTGATTCACTGGAAAAAAAACATTAGATAAAACCAGTGACATCCGAGATTTTTTGTTGACCAAAAGAAAAGGTGATTCACAGGAAAAAAAATTGGATAAAAACAGGACATCTGAGTATTTTTGTTGACCAAAAGAAAAGGTGATTCACTGGAAACAAACATTAGATAAAAACCAGTGACATCCTGAGTATTTTTTGTTGACCAAAAGAAAAGGTGATTCACTGGAAACAAACATTAGATAAAAACCAGTGACATCCTGAGTATTTTTTGTTGACCAAAAGAAAAGGTGATTCACTGGAAAAAGAAATTGGATAAAAAAACCAGTGACATCCTGAGTATTTTTTGTTGACCAAAAGAAAAGGTGATTCACTGGAAAAAGAAATTGGATAAAAACCAGTGACATCCTGAGTATTTTTTGTTGACCAAAAGAAAAGGTGATTCACTGGAAAAAGAAATTGGATAAAAACCAGTGACATCCTGAGTATTTTTTGTTGACCAAAAGAAAAGGTGATTCACTGGAAAAAGAAATTGGATAAAAACCAGTGACATCCTGAGTATTTTTTGTTTGACCAAAAGAAAAGGTGATTCACTGGAAAAAGAAATTGGATAAAAACCAGTGACATCCTGAGTATATTTTTTGTTGACCAAAAGAAAAGGTGATTCACTGGAAAAAGAAATTGGATAAAAACCAGTGACATCCTGAGTATTTTTTGTTGACCAAAAGAAAAGGTGATTCACTGGAAAAAGAAATTGGATAAAAACCAGTGACATCCTGAGTATTTTTTGTTGACCAAAAGAAAAGGTGATTCACTGGAAAAAGAAATTGGATAAAAACCAGTGACATCCTGAGTATTTTTTGTTGACCAAAAGAAAAGGTGATTCACTGGAAAAAGAAATTGGATAAAAACCAGTGACATCCTGAGTATTTTTTGTTGACCAAAAGAAAAGGTGATTCACTGGAAAAAGAAATTAGATAAAAACCAGTGACATCCTGAGTATTTTTGTTGACCAAAAGAAAAGGTGATTCACTGGAAAAAAACATTAGATAAAAACCAGTGACATCCTGAGTATTTTTTGTTGACCAAAAGAAAAGGTGATTCACTGGAAAAAGAAATTGGATAAAAACCAGTGACATCCTGAGTATTTTTTGTTGACCAAAAGAAAAGGTGATTCACTGGAAAAAGACATTGGATAAAAACCAGTGACATCCTGAGTATTTTTTGTTGACCAAAAGAAAAGGTGATTCACTGGAAAAAGACATTGGATAAAAACCAGTGACATCCTGAGTATTTTTTGTTGACCAAAAGAAAAGGTGATTCACTGGAAAAAGAAATTGGATAAAAACCAGTGACATCCTGAGTATTTTTTGTTGGAGGAGATTGGAGGGAAATTCTTTGGAATTGGAAACATATTCACTGAACTCTGGAAATGATTGAATCATTGGAAGATTCACCACAAAAAAAAAGATTCAAATGGCGATTCCATACAATAAAGAAAGCAAGAGGTCACATATAATTCACAAATCGTGTCGATATGACCAGCAAAGAAAGCTGGGCCAAGAATGGCAAGCTGGGCCAAGAATGGAGATGTTTTTCGCAACGACAAATTGGACACAAAATAACTCGGAAGATTCTTGGCGCAGCCAAAACTAATGGGGGATATCACAAACACAACTTGCCATGGATGGATGGTGTTTCAATATGTTTCAACTAGTATATGTTCAAGGTCTGGACTCTTCATTGAAGCCGGGCAACATTAAAACTTCAGGTCTGACGCGGGCCAGATAAAATAGCAACCCGATAGACAAATATCGGGGATGGGATAGTTCCTTGACAAAAGGTTTCCAACTATGGTTAGTAACCACATATATATATATATGGTGTACTTTATTTGGATACTATATTTGGATCTAATATCTTTTTTTGGGGTTACTAATGGATCTAATGGTTACTATATATCTATATATCTATCCAAATTAAGATCAAAATTCTGTGGAATCTCTGCACCACGGACCTTTCGCGCCCTGATGCTCCATGCGGATGCATCCACAAACCTGATGCATTGACTTCGATTTTGTCAGCTGGCGAACTTCGAAAAAACGATGGACACATGTAAAAATGATGTAAACATGATGGTAGATTATGGTAGTACCATAAGCACCGCAAGAAAAGATAAGAAAAGACAAACTATGGACAAACACCATCGCCAGCTCGCAGTGTGGCAAGTCATCTGCTCCTTTTCTATTGTTCAACGTTGAAATCCAATGGCTCCATTTCAACATGGCTGTCACTGAAAATCGTCTTAAAACCATGGCTTTTAATATTACTTCCATGAAGTCAATTGGATCATGAGACAACCTTCACCGAGATCAAGACTGTTACCATCTGGTTATGACTAGCAGTTTGCCATGGAAAATCATCATTTCTAATAGGTAAACCATCTATTTCTATGGGCCATGTCCCATGGCTATGTTAAATAACCAGAGGGTGACTATTAACATCTGACCTAAAGACATCCCGATTGAAACGGAGCGAACGCCTGCACAAAGGGAACCTTGGGCTCTCATGCGCAGCGAGGTCATTTGCAGCCGCCCCAGGCTGTGAGCTGATGGGACACAGAGTTTGCTACAGTCAAATACCTATAAAATCCGATAATAGGTGATTTTCCATTGCACACTGTCCAACTTACCACGGTGTATTTGGAGATAGTTCTTGCAGAGTTCGCACAAAAATTAAAACTCTTTGGTCCACCATGGGGATTCTTCCGCTGGGGATTTCTTCCCGCCACCAACCCTGTTCCGCCAACTACTTCTGGGTTGGGTTGCTACTGGACCTCTCTACTCACCAGGTGGGTTGGGATCGATGGGGATCCAGGAGATGGGATGCGTTTTACTTGTCGCTCAATAAGTCGTCAGACCCCTTTCATGGAGTTCTCTCTTGGTCGTCTTGGTGCATCCCAACCAGGATCTAAAGCTGAATAGTTCCAGATGATATTCCCATGATAATCTCCCAGATGATACCCTCTGGTAAACTAACATAGCTATGGAAAATCACCATTTTTAATGAGAAAATCCACTATACATGGCCATTTTCAATAGCTATGTTACTGTAAATTACCAGATGATATTCCCACCAGAACTCTGACATGTTCTGCCCCCCTAAAAATCAAGAACTACAACTGGCCATAACTGGCCCATTGGCAGCTCACAGCCTCGTGGAAAAAAACATGGCTTCCCCTTCTGGGGTCCGAGAGATCCAGGCGCTCCGCACAGCGGTTGAAAAAAAGGGGTCTGAGACCCTACTGGGGAAAGACATGGGATGCATTTTGTAACAGTATACTACCTATCTGTGGGGACCCATATGCAATAAATGAATATATATATATATAATTATATATATATAATTATATAATATATAAAGTTACATGCGTATTATATGTATATATACATATGAAACACAATTGTATTTAATGTATATGGGACCCATGTGGCCCATGTGTGTATGCAAAAAACAAACACTGGCAGCTATGACCATGGGGAACTGTCAACCCACTGGAGAGTTTGTTGTGTAACAAAGCTGAAAAACGACCGGAATGGCGGAAGATCACTGTTCACAAAAATACAAAACATCACAAGACTATATAAATATTATATAAACGCTTAGGCCACTTTATCTTTAAGTGAAAATGCTACAGCTGTGAGATTGCTGCAAGTGGCGAAGAAAATGGGGACTGCCATCGCAATGTGCAGTAAGTTTTCTGGGAGATTTTAGCATTCGTACACTTCACATCTTTCATACCAAGGGATGCCTTACAGGTTTTCCCAATCCATTCAGATGGTTCACCAACCGCTCCACGGCAATGCACTAACTGACGTCTGGCAAACCAAGACGTCCTTTTTTCATGTCGCACTAACGGATGGCACCTCAGGGATCAGACCTGGGACCTGGCAGTCCAACTGGTTCACTGTTTTTCGATGGGGCGTGCCTCTGACCTGAGGGAAACATGAAGCACTCCACCCAAAACAAAGTTGAATCACATGTGTTTATCGTCTATGTCAGTCTATGTGTTAAATTGTACGCATTGTTCTTGTACACTGTGTGGAAATATATGGGTTTATGATGGTTTATGTAACAATGGATCGACAGTATACCCCAAATCCACCGATGAATCATCATATTCTCCAATAAAAATCAACAAACACATGATTTTTGCGTGATTGCCCCAAGTTTCTCACAGCTACATATTCTGTACTCTATCTGAATCGCATCAAAGGAGCCGCAAAGCTCAAGGAATCACTGCCTGGATATGGGGAACTTGACCCCGAAAGGATGGCCATCAGATCACAGCATCAGTGACTTAGTGGTTCTGTTGGTAACACACTGCAGACCTGCACATTTATGCAATTGGCACGTTCTTTTCCACCATCCCAGTAATGCTTCGGGTGCTGAAACCGCTAGCCATGTTGTCCTGAAGTAATTATAGAATTTTCAGGGGTCAACTGGTCTTTTTCCGGCAGTATTCCGTCATGAAGTCAGCATAAAGTCAGCGTTTCATCCCTTTAACCTTTAAAACTTAAAACTCTTAAAGCTATTGTTGGAAATGTGTATCCTGCGAACCAAATATCACCAGCCCATCATCTTGTCATGTGGAACTGATATAAATGAGAAAACAGGGCTTACAGCCAACCAGAAATGCACGGTTCCCCCCAAAAAACCTCCCGTAATCAGACAGGATGGAAAATTGCCCCTTGATAAACGATTCACCTATTGAGCATGGTCCAATGGTGGTTTTCCATAGCTATGTTAAATTATACCAGAGGGTATGTCAAAGTCTCTAATCAAGATTGTCGCAGGAAAACTCAAAAACATCAAAGTCATAAAAACTGCAAGACTTCGGCACCCAGCCTGCGCGGCCATGATGATTGCAGATTTCCGTGCCTTGTCGTTGGCACCTTGACCCTCGGCCGAAGCCAAGCGTAAAATCCAGGGAGGAAGCCTCAGGCCAGGCGGCCATGGGGCAGTGGGTTTCTCCCATCGTCCAAGATCCTGAAATCCAGGGAGGAGTATACTATACCCATGACGGATCCATGGTGCTGGTATATATGGTAACATAAAGAGGGTAGATTGATGGGATCCATGGCACACCATATATAGATAGATAGATAGCAGCACCATGGATCCTATGGGATATGCTCGATCTGGAGACATCAAATAAAGAACAGAACTGTCTTTGTTTCAACAAGTTGACCTGTCAACCGAGCTTTGAACCATATTGGATAGGCTGATAGTTCCAAGCTCACCAGCATTCCATGCTGTTCCCTCACTGGGTGGCAGTTTCAACCAATCCGAGTCATGTAGGCATCTAATCATCCTGAGCTTCACCCCCATTGGTGAAACCATTCGCAGGATCATTGACCCCAAAATGAAACTCCCAAGCAATGGTCAAAAATGTTGTCTCATCCCCTTTCACATGCTGGTTCTAAAAACATATACATTGATTGACATTGATCATACAATCATCAAATATCATCAATTCCCGATGACGAATGGCAAACTGGCAAGAATGACCAATAGGAAAGATAGGAAAGCCCAAGCAAACCAACATATCGCCAAAAATCGCCAAAAAACGTCACACCCAAGGCTTCACAGAAGGACTTGCAGAAGCTGCAGCAGTTGTTCTTCAATACATCCTGAGTGCGCTGCCGAGTCCAGATGAATCCTGAATCCATGCTGCCTACAGCAATGACCAAATTTATATATGTTTATAATACAGTACATTATTATACCAGATTATTAATTATACATCTTTGTAATGTGTAATATGTAATGTAATGTACAGTAAAATGTATACAGAGAGAGCATCTTTTTGGCATAGCAGGTGACTCTTCCAGTTCATCCACTCACGGTCGCCAAGCTTCGTAACGGCACCCTGGCCACTCGTCCTTCAACTTCGAGATCTTCTCGGAGATCTCGTTTTCTCCTGGGCAACGTCGAGTCACTGGATGTCCATGGCATCCATGGATGGTTGAGATATGTTGAGATATTGAGTCCTTTGCCAGTTGTTGGATTGCAGGATATGCTCATACCAGCTCACACCCGAAATCGCAGTTCATGATAGCTAATGTCTCCCTGACTACCAGATACTACCAGCACCTTTTGAACAAATGATGTCTTTTCTTTCGTGTGCAGTGACTGGACAGAACACATTGATTGAATCCCCGCAGCCAAATGGATGTCCGCATCTTTTTGGACATTGGGGCGCTCCAAAGCCATTGCTCTCCCCACGAGTTACATATCAAAACATATCAAAACCTGAAAGAAAAAACCATCGAAATCCATCGAAATCCCCACATCCCAGGAGTGCCAAGGCTCGCAAGGAAGTGTATCCAAGTTCAATGGCATCTCCTTTTAGCTCGGATTCTACGAAACCACCCATGACTGGGTAAACATGGTGGAAGCTGGGGCTGGTTTTTTTTGGTTTTACCATGGTTTTACCCACAGTGCAAATGTCCAAATGAGTCCAAACACATCCAACTAACTATGTAGTCCCTGTCATGATAGAAGCTGTGTGTTATGTTCCTACCCATAAGCCGCATCCCTCACGCTTGTGGACGTGGCACGATAGCTGTGGGGCTCGCAGTGCGTCGGTTTGCACTCGAAAACGCCTGGCGAAATCAGATCCGTTTGAAGTACAAGAGGTGAGTCATTGAAAACGAAAGAAATTGAATGAACATGAAACCTTGAAAGCTAGTTTCAACTGTCTGCAATTTCCTTGAAACATCTTGAAACACATATCACTTCTCATCCAATAATATTGTATCTATCTATATAGCCTAATTGCACCAGTCGGGTGTCATGAAGTCAAGGTCTACTGTCTCGCGGTTTGAAGCCAGCACAGAGTTCAGGAATGTTCAGGAAACTGGCAGATGACGGCTGAAGTGAAGAGCAGCTGTGGGATTCTGTTCGACTCCCATCTTTCCTGGATTCTCTGAAAATCTCCCACAACCCGTTCCTTGATACTTCAAGATGTTTCTGGAACTTTCCATAACTCTTACCCTCCAGTAAATTCACATAGACCCTGGTAGTCATCGGGGTTGGAAGATGAGTTTCCCATAGTTTCCTCTAAAAATTGGTGATTTTCAGGGTCCAACTCTTAATTTACCAGAGGCTATATCCCATCGAATCCCCATCGAATCCCCATCGAATCGCGCACCACTGCCCAGCTCGCTGAAACCATAGCTCCACTCGGAGCCTCAGGATGAACCCTCACTGCCCCAATATAGATTCCCCAACTGGATACCGGTATTTCCCGGAAGATGAAGAAAAATCACATCCAAGGTATCATGGGGATCTCGATTTTTTCCCTGACACCCTGGAAGAAGTGGTGGATCTATGGGGACATGAAAACAAAAGCTATAGGGTTTATGAGCAACATGAGCAACATGTTAAGATATCATTTTATGATGGTGTAACGGGATATGTTTTGAATCAACCTACTATGATTTGGGTGTATCTGAAAATGGTGGAGTTCGGAGTTCAGAATTAACCCGCAAAATTAATATTAATAAGCATCCCCGAATTAATCAACACCCACATTCCAAAAAAACATGGCAATACTACTTTGGGTTGGTCCCTCCCTATTAAATCAACATGTGCGACCCCCCTATTAAACAACACCTTGCTCAGAAATCCTAATTTGTGGTAGTCAGGATATTTGATTACAGTAATTGGTTCTGATTGTTTTTTAATGAGTGAAAAAGTAATGGTTTAAAGGGATGTCCCATGCCCAATCTCAGCATCTCACCCCATTGGCCGGGAGGTTGTGTTTTTCTTTAATGTATGACAAGCCCTAGTTTTTTTTGTGGGGGGGGACTCTTACCTTCTAGGGCAGGAAGGGGGTTATAACTACGAACTTGGCATTATTTACCTATATGTCTATGAGTGCCTAATATTTACCAACATTTGCTCATCATTGTTTTCAATATAATGTTGTTTACCAATGTCTACTGTGATAATTGTGTTCACTACATTTTTAAATATTATAATGATCATGTTTAACACATATTTACCCTCTAGTAATTTAGCATAGCTATTGAACATGGCCATAGAAATAGTGAGTTTTCCCATTAAACATGGTGATTTTCCATCGTTATGTTAGTTTACCAGAAGATATCAATATATTGTTCAAAGATAAAATCAGTCACCTAGCAACTCAAAGTGAACAAACAACCCGGGCTCGGCTCGGGATACTGATGCTAGGGATGACGAAGCGAACACCGATACGTCCCAGGATCTGGAGAAACAAAACGCTCCCAATGCTCCCAATGCTATCCTAAAAACCTCTGGCCTGAATATCCGGTATTTTACATATTATAAATATATAGTACTATCTATCTATTAGAATATTATGAATGAATCTATCTAACTATATAATTCTATTACTATTGGGATATGAATGAATCTATCTAACTATTTTACATAATATTAGATAGATAGATAGATTCATTCATATCCCAATAGTGTCCCATTTAATATCGCATAAAGAATCAAACACAAACACATCAGTCAAGGTTGATCTGCGATCAATATCCGTTTAAACAAAAAGTGTGCGCCTAGGTTCTGGCCTCGGACACTTTTCCTGTAAATTTCCACACCAAGTGGCTTTTGTGACATGTCCAAGTGTATTTGTCCTTTTGATCTTTTTCATATGGTGTTCGTCCTTTTTCTTCTTTGTTCCATTTCTCATGTGCTCATCATTGTTTTCATCCAATTTTCACAGCAACCATTCTCACTAGGGATTTACATCATATGGCTAGCAAAAAAAACAAGAATTTGAAACGGAACATGCATTTCTCCCAACGGCAACGCATGTCGATGCGCAAACCGGCAAACTCCTCAATTATATACCTTCCCCAAGCATAATAATATATGCATCTAATCGATGCGCTTTCCATTGCTTACAGTATCCTATATATCCCAAATAAGATCCCGGTGCTCCATACAGCACACTCTGGGACTTCCCAACCATTGATTTCGATGCCCACATGGAAGTGGCCAGTGCCCAAGGGCTTTGTGTCGCCTAGGGGAGCTTCAGTGGTGATTTTTCAGGGTGATTTAACCATTAACCATTGTTGATCTCATGGGATATGTCTTGGGAATACCATGGGAATAATCAATTAACCATCAATACCATGGGATTTAACCATCAATAACCCCATCCATTTTCATGGTGAATGGTGATCACTGGAAATTCATGGGAAAAAATCATACGGAACCAAGGATGGGATTAAAACAAACACAGCAAAATGTACTGTATAATGAAGCATGTGTTTCAATGAAATGCTATATTACATCAATATGATAATATGATATTAGAATTACAATATATTCGATTTGATTATATTTGAATGTTCGTAGTAATTACCAACATTAAAAGACTGCAATAAAACCCTGGGAAAGGAAGCGACAACATTGTTACAATGCCATCCCCTCAGGGAAGTTTTCCGTGATTTTCCAGAAGAAATAACCCATCCAATTCCAGACCGATGTCACGGGTACCATTGGGTACCACATTCTACTGCTTGGGTACACCCTGGCCGATAAAGGTACATAAGGTACTATACAACTTCAACGACCTGACCGTAGCCCGACACTTTTTTCAATAGCTATCCAACGCGGTCCATTTCGGAATCATTTGGGACATCATTCATTCCCATAGGATCCATGTATGCTATATATGGTAACATTTACCATCCATATACCCCCAATGTTAGCATATATACCATACATGGATCCTATGGGATAGGGTACCCATCTGATTGATCCAGCGGTTGATCATCAAATTGAAGGCCCTTGGAGGCGCCATTTCTAACCTCGGAACCCGGGCCTTCAATGCTCCCTGCGGCAGCCATGTCGTAGACGTGCAGGGTGACTGCCTTTTTTCTGGCCGCGAGGCTCACAATTCTACGGAATTTCCTGAGATACGACTGGAATTCATGGAGTATTACCGTATTACTGTATTTCCTTCTGGTAATTTCTGACATATTGAAAATCACCATCTTACATAGGCAAATCATCTATAAATTGAACCATTTCACATAGTATTTTGGGAACCAAAATAAGGTTCTTCAACAAATGTTGGTGGCGATTCATCACCTTTTATCATGCTTTGGGTTCAGCCCAGATTCAACCACAGATTTTCACATCTAATTCATTCGTCATTTATAAAACTTGGGAAAACCATGGGAAACCAATGATTTGGTGGTCCCCGAACCGCCAAATTGAAACATCTATCAACATCCCATGTTCCGGCAGCCCGTTCCGCCGTTGAAAAAAGTTGTTGGCGCCTCTTTCCGCCTAGCCACCACCTGTGGAGACACCAACAGAATCGTCTGGTCCAAGAGTTTAAGTGGAAAAATGAAAACAACAAACTGCTTTCAGCTAAGACCCCCCAAAAAGCATGCGGAACCTGGCGGAACCTCCTCAACCTTCCCACCCAAAATGGGAAAGGTGTCCTGCGAATTTCACTATCCCGAACAGCTAGCAACAAAAAGATCACGAAACATTGACGAAGTGAAGTGACTTGTTCGATCTTGTTCAGATTTTTGGTATTCACCACAAACCATTCACCACTAACTTATATATATTTTTTTGCAATGAAGTGGTGAAGTAGCCGATGATTATTCACCACTAGCATACCACTGCCACTAAGTGCCCATAACTCCCATCGCCTTCGCAATGGCTTCGAGCCAAATGGCAATCTTTTCCTGGGTAAAGAAGCGGCTACTTGTCGTCGCTCTCCACTGGAGATGCCAAAAAAAAAGTGTTTGGATTTGGATGGGTGTTTGACTATCATGATTGCATGACCCACCTGCAAGAAAAAACACTCATTTTACTCATTTTATTATTCCACCTGCAAGAAGAACTATATATTTACTATTGTTTCATCCTTTCAGTGTCAGCAAGTTACTTTCCTTAAAGATTATGAAAGATTGGGACCTGTAACCTCAATGGGTTCCTGAAAGAATCCTGAAGGGTACCCATGCTTCCCCTTGTTACGTAGTACATGATGTACGCCTGGAAGATTCCTGTCCGTTGGGAAAATGACATGCTGAAACCGTCGGAATTAAACCCCACATCCACCCTAAGAACTATCTGATAGTACACATTATACTACATGATGATATTGACATGGCATCTCATATATTAAACCGATATCAATTCCCCACAGACGTATCAAATCGTATCAAAATAGGTGCGTTCCGAGGCGCCTCATTCTCTGCCTCAGCATGTGCAACAGTGACGAGACAAACCTATGGAATCTGAAACTTCCCCACAATGTCCAAGAACCTGATGAAAATATGAAAATCGCAGAAATTTCTGAGACATTCAAAAAAGAACTACAGTTTCAAACTGAATCCCCACATGACATAGAGATCGACCCCAATTTTGTGGCCATCGCAGGATCCCACGAAAGCGCCGTTCCAGGCACGTCAAAGTAGGAGAGTTTCCGTCCCTTCCCAGCCATAGGATTGGAGTCCAGGACGAAGCCTATGCGCCAAAAAACCCAGCGACTTCACAGATCGTTTGGCGAACCAGCGACTTTCAATGGGGTACCCACGATTTCTGGATTTCAAAAATGATCTAAATACTAAACCATATACGACCATGCCAAATCCACCCAATTTGCCCATTTGCAGGTACTTCTAGTCAAACCCCTTTTCAAAGGAATGTTGTGTTTTTTTGGGGCTGTGGCGTTTTTTTTTGGCCACATCTCACATCGTTGTATAGTCATCCCCCCCCAAAAAAAGGTGGTTTCCTCCAGCAGAAACCCCTGTTCCGAGGCGCCGCAAGGTTTGTCCGACTTGTGTTTCACGGCCTAAACAGTGGAGGCTTTCAGGTGATTTCCATCAGGAAAAGGTGCAAGTCTTAAACACATATCACTTAGTTCAAAGAAGTTTGAAGGATTTAGATTTTTTTGAACCCACCCAAATATATGCATGGTGTTAAATGTCAAATCATCCCAAATTCGGTTTGAAGATAAGGAAACACACACCAGCCAGACCCCGCGACCAATCCCAAAGACGATTTTCCAAAAACCCTGGGATCCAAAATGTATGACCCGTTCATATACATGTTCTATATATACAGTGTTGGTATAACTTAAACCATCCAATTCTAGTGTGCGAATCCGAAAGGAATACGAAATCAGAAGATGTTTTTTTTTGTTTTTCGAATGTCTTGCTCCAAGAACACACCATCAAACGGTTGATCTGTCTGGGTTCATTTATAATGTATATACATATTTTTCTGGGTTCATCCTGTTTACATCCTCAGTATTTGGAGTGTACTTGCTGTTGGAGTCTCAAACCCTAAATGCCCAAATTGATTGACCTCATCCAACTTTAGACCCTACATTGGTTACGGCTGTTCGGTATGCCGAGAACGGTCTTTGAAAAAGGCCATCAAACCCCAACATGGGCCCCTTGTATTTGTATGTTTTTCTTACATTAAGTTACATTCACTATATTTGTGGCTATATGTATGTTACATTCATGCTATAGTTAGATGGCTATAGATGGCAATAGTTTCTTTCCCAACTTCTGGTTGTATCTCCAACTATAGTCTAACAGTCTAACTATAAAACTGGCTATAGTTGCCATTATGTATCCATCTATATACAAGGGGCCATTAAAAAAATACATAGCCATTACATTGTCCATCTCTAACTATAGCCATAGCCATCTATAGCCATAGCCGGCCATGGGCCGGGCCGTAACCGCCTTTTTGCGTCCCGCCCTGGCGGCCTCGCCGGGCGCATCGTGGCAGCTGAAGCGCGCGGCTTTGGCGTCGTAGCTCAGACGCTCAGCGCTCTGCCGCTGGCTGAAACGCTCCTGGGGCCACTGGGGATGTCGGCTACCATGGATGGTCCCAAAAAGTCATAGATCCCCAAAGGAACCACAAGGAACCATGGAAGTTCCAATACTATAGGTTGGTCATTAACTATACTACCCATGACGGATCCATGGTGCTGCTATGTGTATATATATATATATATTGGTAACATGGATCCCATCAATATACCCCAGTCATGTTTCATGTTAGCATATATACCAGCACCATGGATCCTTTGGGCTATAGGTTGGTCATTAAAAATTAGGATGATGACTGGGGTACCCCCATGTTTTAGGAAACCTCCACTGGGGATGCATAAAAAAATATCTAATGGAATAATTTTTCAGTATCTCCAGTGAAATGGGGATAAATATTATGGGGACATGTAATAGATCTATAGGATAATATCACACTTACCACTGGTTGGAAATAATAGATCTATTAGGATACATAATAGCAATCTATAACTGGTTGAACATCTAATAGATATAAGATAGGAATCTAACAAGGACAACTAGAAAATGTACGATATCCATAAATCCAGAAAATATTCCTAAGGAATTTATAATGGAATGTCTAATGCAATATATTTTTCATGGGTTGACATAGCTGCTTAGTTTTTGTGGGGCTATCACCCCTTGTAACTCCCAGGTTTTTGGGTTGGAACTTTCACAGGAAACAACAAATCCAAGGTTTCCGGTCCAGAAACCAATACGTTGAACAATTATGTGGAATACCTGAATATACCCACTGAGATGAATCGGTTCTACATACATATATGTTTATATATATATATATTATGTATGTGTATATATATATATATCATACGTATATATATATATATATATATCATGTATATATATATATATTATATGTGTATATATATACATGGGGATGCACATCCAAGTAAGTCCATGCAATCATAATTTGATCAACCATGTGTTACATCATATAACTTTACATGTCACGTGGCGAAATTACTGTACATGATAGGAATTTGCGAGATGCCCCTGGACATAATCTCTGACGGACACAAATCAAGAAGAAACATCAAACAAAATGGTTAGGACCTCATTGTTGTAACCCTTAAAAAGAACGAAACGCAATTCATCACTATTTAAGTCGGATCTTACTGTTCTATCTTTTTGCGGGGTGGTATCAGTGGCTTTGAGAAAAGGGATCATCAGCAACCAGATGCTGGGGAATATCGCACAAGATCAACAGTTGTTACTTCCAAAAAACATGAGATACTCCAAGCAAATTGGAAAGAAGAAAAACACAGCCATCAATCATTGAACAAACAATTCACTACCTACACTAGCCTGAGAAGATAACTCCATTTGGGGAGCTCCAAGATGTCGCCAGAAACATCGACAAAACATAGCCAGTATCATCCGATAAGCTATCCCCAAGAGACCTTAAAGTCAGTAGATCGATCAACAAAGGTTTTCGACAGAGCAGTACTATATAAATACGGTCGCAAATTTAAGATGTGTATTGCAGTAATATGCCATATGTGTATATATGTGTATAGTATATTTACCAGTATTTACCTACATAACTTATAACTGCGGTGATTTTTTGTTGGTAAATGTTGGTATAAATAGTCCATATTGATCCATGGAGTATTTGGGTATGCTCCATATTAGGTGGGTGGACTCTGGGCCGGAGCGTCGTCTTTGTACACGATGAGCTGCGTGTTGGTGAGGATGCACCAACCTTGACACAACATCTGAAGTTTCTGAGACTTGGGGACAAGATGGTCAACACAATTACCTTCTGGTAAACGTTTACATAAGCATGGAAAATCACCATTTTATAGCTGGGTAAATCAACTATAACATACTATAACCACTTTCAATAGCTATGTTGAATCCGAACCCCGTGGTGCTGGGCCTGCTGGGCACCGTTCCACCGTGAAAAAAACTGACTCGCCATGGCGGGTACAGGCGGGTTATAACATGTTATAACCCACAAAATATTTTGAACCCTCTGGTAATCACATTGGTATCCCAACTGAGGGTTATAACCCAAGGTAACCCAAAATATAGGGCTTCACTTTGGATCCCTCTGGTAATTCAACATGGCCATTGAAACACATTGAACATGGCCATTGAACATTTCAAAGTAAACTATCCCATGACGGATCCGGCTGGTGCTGGTATATATGCTAACATGACTGAAAGGTATATTGATGGGATCCATGGCACACCAGAGATAGCAGCACCATGGATCCTATGGGCTATGGAACTTACTCTTAGGCTCTTAGGTCATTTTTCCATCGCAAACTCTTACTATCCAAGACATCCGAGATTTCGCCCTCATGATGCTGCTTGGTGAATCGGGAAACCCCAACAACAATCACCAGCAAAAACCAGGTTTTGAATGGAACACTGTGACACATGGGTTTAAGGGGTTCATGGTTTAAGGGTCATTGAACCATATAATTATGTATATTTATATTTGATCAATTGGTTAAACCATATATAATCTCTTATAATCACCAATCAACAAGGCTATTTTTGATAGCACAAGTGCCACGGCACTTCAGCTATGCATCAAGGGCACGCGCTTGGAACGCATATCCGAAGACTGGACCACGTTTCAGCAGCTGTCCGTTCACGTGGCTCACATTGAGGTCAACCTCAGCTATAGCGATGGGTGAAATCCTGGAGGTTGAGCCCCCAAACCATCCAAGTCAAAAGGGACTATTAGACCATTTGAGTATTGAAAGCCATGGTTTTAGTATTCAAACAACCATATATCTAATGTTTTTGTTGAACCACTATTTATATCTATTTTTGGTTCAAGCATCGAAAATATGTTGGAGATACAATGGGTATTATGGGTATTAGCTATATATGTCAACCATACGGCGGTTTCCGAAATGATGGGGGGGGTACCCCAAATCATCCAAGTCATGGATGACCAGGTCGTATTTGAAACATGGTTCCTGTGGATCCGCCATGACTTAAGAAACCCTATAGCGTAGTCGAGGTAATGAAAACCCTGGTATCATGTAAGTATCAGATTGACTATTGGGGAAGCACCCCCCTAATAAACTATGGTTTATTAATCCGGGGTTGACATTACTAGGATTTTACGGTTATAATCTGTTATATATCTTTATGGAATTGCTATAGAACAAACAAATGAACTTAGTGGGTCCTTGGTGCCCTGTTCTTTACCAATACCAGTTTTTGTTTTTCCAGTTGTCGGTTAATTGATACAAAAAAGACCGAACAGTTGGACATCTGGAAATTCAGACGCAAAGACCGTGTACGGACAAACCTCAACAAACAACTGTTTCAGAATGTTCCACCTACTGGAACCCCGTCGGGCTTTCGACATTGGTCTATCTAAAGGACGAACCATCCATGGATCCAATTGATGGATGAACGAAAAAGCTGGGCACCACTGTAGCTGTGACGACGCAGTAGCCATACTTAATTCTTGATGGCTGCAATGGCTGCAATATGTATATATATATATATGTATGTGTATATATATATATATGTATATGTATGTGTATATATATATATATATGTATATGTATATTATATATATATATATCTTTGACCAGAAGAATACATGTCATACATTTATCTACCCATCAGTGTGGCTAGATTTTGACGATGTCTGATTCCCCAGTCTCAGCACAACGGAGACATCAAGGGTGCATCGGCTGTCAACACTCCGCTGCTCATGTGGCGGTCAAGAAATACTACTGAAACATATCCCATAGGATCCATGGTGCTGGTATATATGCTACCATTGGGGGTATATTGATGGTAAATGTTACCATATATAGCAGCACCATGGATCCTATTGGATATGTGCTTCTTGTTTTTTTAAAAAGAAATCTGGTTGCAAGTCAAATTTGAACCTCCAAATCGAGAGATTTTTCATCGGATCATTTTTTCACATGGATCATCCACGAGCAGCGTATGTCGATGTTGACCATACCCTCGAAAGCTCCATGGCTGGAAGATCCCCTGGTCCGATGATGTTCCCATTAATTATATAATTAACATCTCCATTTAGTTCTATGATTGTCCAATAAAACATCATATTTAAATCACCATCTTTGATAGGTAAATCATCCGGCGTTTCATTTTACTACTGCTGCCAAGCATGTTTCATCAAAAAAAACAACGAACCCGCCATAGAAAATAATAAGTTGTCTAATCAATTCATGATCAATGGGCCGTTTCCCATGGTGGGGGCCACCCTTCCAGGCCCCAATCATCGCCACGTCACCGCCGCACCATTCAGGTGATCTGCTGGTTTGCTGGGGACCAATGCCGCTGGCGCCTCATGGGATTTGAGGTGCCAAACATGGGGCGTTCTGGAATGTGTCTTATCATGTTTTGTATGGTTAATATTACCCAAAGACAATTTTGTTGAGAAAATCCAGTTAGGACATAAACTCAGTGATCTAATTTCACGCTGATTTAACCATACATTAAACATGTCAATGGGGATATGTATATATGTATATTGGGATGTATCTATAACTATAACTAACCAACGATGTGATTCTTTGGGTTGTCTGAAAATAGGGGATTCCTCAAATCACCGTTTCCATGCGATGATAAAAACCATGGGATTTTGGAGGTTAAACCATCCGATGTTGGGAGATGACATGACACATTTTGACCCATACAGCCATCCGGGATTCCAATGGGCTTCCGTTGTGAACCCATGGGTTTCTGAGGACTTCATCAATTTGGGAAGGTCTGACCTTTCCCGGAGGAACTACATTTGAGGTGGGAAGTGGCTATATCAGCCACATCAGCCACTGACAAAACGATAACATATTGTATGTATCATGAATCATTACTATGGGCATGCAGTTGCTGCTGATGTCAATCTCCTATAGTATCAGCTAAGAACCAATTGCACAATTCTCATGGAGTAACTGCGTGACACTATTGTTTCTGCTTTTCATAATTTTCTGAAACCACATGCCACATGGGGCGACACTGCACCAAGGCCCCAAAAACATCCATAAAGACCAATGTGGTAAACCCAACAAACCCAAATCGGGTGTGCAACCCTCCATAGCCTCACATCTCAATGTTATGTAAATTTCAGAGTGATCTTGGATGTTCATATATGTTCATCGATTTCTTCATCGATTTCTTCATGGATGTTCATTGATCTTCATGGATTTCACACAGGAATAGGGCCCCCAGGTTCCCCCATGGCCTCGTGCACTGGTTCCTCAAACTTCACTCCCTTGGTGCCCTGAGGTTGGACCTGAGCATCCAAACGATTGGACCTGGTGGTTTCATGGGATGCTCATGGGATGTTAAAAATCGGATATTTAAATAATATATATATATATGTATATGTATATATATATATGTGTATATATATATTATATATATATCATATGTCACATATATATATATAATATGATATAAATATATATATATATAGTAACAAACCAAAAAGGCTTAGGTAATCTTAGATCATCTTAGATCTCTGACAAGGAACAGAGGTTTCTGGGTTTGTTTCTGGTGCTTCTGCTGCTTTGGCGTCTTCTGCCGCCGGAGCAGCCTGCAAACACAAGAGACAGACATTGGACATACATCCAACCACAGAAAAACTTAACTTAAAAACAACCATCACAAGAAAAATCCACCAAGGAAGTCGGGGACAAAGACGGACAAAACCCATTTAGAAGCTTGTGGAATGTTGTGGTCTGCAAAGAAACACGTAATGACACATCTACAAATTTGGATGCTGCAAAGTAAGATAAAGAACGCACCAGAACCCAAACAGCTTTGGGTTATGCCAGTTGTGCCTGCTCTGCTGCTGGGCTCTTTCCTTTGCCTTTTGATGGCCCTTTTGCTGATCCCTTTCCGGGTCCTTTAGCTGTAACCGCAGGTGCCTGTGAGCACACGGACATAGAAACTTTGAAACTGAATGATACGGAAGTAGACTGAAACGGAAACTAAAACTAAATGAAATTGAACCAGTGGACCGGACCCATCACTCTCAAGAGCAGGATCTCAAGAGCAGGATACAGTTTCTGTGTCGTTCGCCTAGTTTCACCAAGTCACCAACACAATCAGAAGCTGCAGCTAAGTGCAAATCTACATGACGTACAGTAGACCAGTAGCTGTCCTCTGCAGTTTCTTTGACCTCTTCAACGGCATCTGCTTTTGCCTCGCCCGTTTCCTTCGTTTCTGGATTTGGTTCTGCTCCTTCTGCCGCTTCTGCTGCTTTGGCGTCTTCTGCCGCTGGAGCAGCCTGCAAACAAAAGCGACATGCATTGGACATACATCCAACCACAGAAAAACAACTTAAAAACAACCATCACAAGAAAAATCCACCAAGGAAGTCGGGGACAAAGACGGACAAGACCCATTTACAAGCTTGTGGAATGCTGTGGGCTGCAAAGCAACACGTAATGACACATCAGACACATCCACAAATTTGGATGCTGCAAAGTAAGATAAAGAACGCACCAGAACCCAAACAGCTTTGGGTTATGCCAGTTGTGCCTGCTCTGCTGCTGGGCTCTTTCCTTTGCCTTTTGATGGCCCTTTTGCTGATCCCTTTCCGGGTCCTTTAGCTGTAACCGCAGGTGCCTGTGAGCACACGGACATAGAAACTTTGAAACTGAATGATACGGAAGTAGACTGAAACGGAAACTAAAACTAAATGAAATTGAACCAGTGGACCGGACCCATCACTCTCAAGAGCAGGATCTCAAGAGCAGGATACAGTTTCTGTGTCGTTCGCCTAGTTTCACCAAGTCACCAACACAATCAGAAGCTGCAGCTAAGTGCAAATCTACATGACGTACAGTAGACCAGTAGCTGTCCTCTGCAGTTTCTTTGACCTCTTCAACGGCATCTGCTTTTGCCTCGCCCGTTTCCTTCGTTTGTGGATTTGGCTCTGGTGCTTCTGCCGTTTCTGCTGCTTTGGCGTCTTCTGCCGCTGGAGCAGCCTGCAAACAAAAGCAACATGCATTGGACATACATCCAACCACAGAAAAACAACTTAAAAACAACCATCACAAGAAAAATCCACCAAGGAAGTCGGGGACAAAGACGGACAAGACCCATTTACAAGCTTGTGGAATGCTGTGGGCTGCAAAGCAACACGTAATGACACATCAGACACATCCACAATTTTGGATGCTGCAAAGTAAGATAAAGAACGCACCAGAACACAAACAGCTTTGGGTTATGCCAGTTGTGCCTGCTCTGCTGCTGGGCTCTTTCCTTTGCCTTTTGATGGCCCTTTTGCTGATCCCTTTCCGGGTCCTTTAGCTGTAACCGCAGGTGCCTGTGAGCACACGGACATAGAAACTTTGAAACTGAATGATACGGAAGTAGACTGAAACGGAAACTAAAACTAAATGAAATTGAACCAGTGGACCGGACCCATCACTCTCAAGAGCAGGATCTCAAGAGCAGGATACAGTTTCTGTGTCGTTCGCCTAGTTTCACCAAGTCACCAACACAATCAGAAGCTGCAGCTAAGTGCAAATCTACATGACGTACAGTAGATCAGTAGCTGTCCTCTGCAGTTTCTTTGACCTCTTCAACGGCATCTGCTTTTGCCTCGCCCGTTTCCTTCGTTTCTGGATTTGGTTCTGCTCCTTCTGCTGCTTTGGCGTCTTCTGCCGCTGGAGCAGCCTGCAAACAAAAGCGACATGCATTGGACATACATCCAGCCACAGAAAAACAACTTAAAAACAACCATCACAAGAAAAATCCACCAAGGAAGTCGGGGACAAAGACGGACAAGACCCATTTACAAGCTTGTGGAATGCTGTGGGCTGCAAAGCAACACGTAATGACACATCAGACACATCCACAATTTTGGATGCTGCAAAGTAGGATAAAGAACGCACCAGAACCCAAACAGCTTTGGGTTATGCCAGTTGTGCCTGCTCTGCTGCTGGGCTCTTTCCTTTGCCTTTTGATGGCCCTTTTGCTGATCCCTTTCCGGGTCCTTTAGCTGTAACCGCAGGTGCCTGTGAGCACACGGACATAGAAACTTTGAAACTGAATGATACGGAAGTAGACTGAAACGGAAACTAAAACTAAATGAAATTGAACCAGTGGACCGGACCCATCACTCTCAAGAGCAGGATCTCAAGAGCAGGATACAGTTTCTGTGTCGTTCGCCTAGTTTCACCAAGTCACCAACACAATCAGAAGCTGCAGCTAAGTGCAAATCTACATGACATAGCTGGCCTCTGCAGTTTCTTTGACCTCTTCAACGGCATCTGCTTTTGCCTCGCCCGTTTCCTTCGTTTGTGGATTTGGCTCTGGTGCTTCTGCCGTTTCTGCTGCTTTGGCGTCTTCTGCCGCTGGAGCAGCCTGCAAACAAAAGCGACATGCATTGGACATACATCCAACCACAGAAAAACAACTTAAGAACAACCATCACAAGAAAAATCCACCAAGGAAGTCGGGGACAAAGACGGACAAAGCCCATTTACAAGCTTGTGGAATGCTGTGGACTGCAAAGCAACACGTAATGACACATCTACAAATTTGGATGCTGCAAAGTAGGATAAAGAACGCACCAGAACACAAACGGATTTGGGTTATGCCAGTTATGCCTGATCTGCTGCTGGGCTCTTTCCTTTGCCTTTTGATGGCCCTTTTGCTGGTCCTTTTCCGAGTCCTTTGGCTGCAGCCGCAGGTGCCTGTCAGCACACGACACACAGAAACTTTGAAACTGAATGTAACGCTAGTAGACTGAAGCAGAGACTCAATGAAAATGAACTAGTGGACCCATCACTCTCAAGACCGGGATACAGATTCTGTATCGTTGGCCTGACTTCACCAAGTCACCAACACCATCAGAAGCTGCAGCTATGTGCGGCTCTAAAGTCACCAACACCATCAGAAGCTGCAGCTATTTGCAGCTCTACATGACATAGCTGGCCTCTGCAGTTTCTTTGACCTCTTCAACGGCATCTGCTTTTGCCTCGCCCGTTTCTTTCGTTTCTGGATTTGGTTCTGGTGCTTCTGCTGCTTTGGCGTCTTCTGCCGCTGGAGCAGCCTGCAAACACAAGAGACAGACATTGGACATACATCCAACCACAGAAAAACAACTTAAGAACACCAAGAACAACCATCACAAGAAAAATCCACCAAGGAAGTCGGGGACAAAGACGGACAAAGCCCATTTACAAGCTTGTGGAATGCTGTGGACTGCTAAGCAACACGTAATGACACATCTACAAATTTGGATGCTGCAAAGTAGGATAAAGAACGCACCAGAACACAAACGGATTTGGGTTATGCCAGTTATGCCTGATCTGCTGCTGGGCTCTTTCCTTTGCCTTTTGATGGCCCTTTTGCTGGTCCTTTTCCGAGTCCTTTGGCTGCAGCCGCAGGTGCCTGTCAGCACACGACACACAGAAACTTTGAAACTGAATGTAACGCTAGTAGGCTGAAGCAGAGACTCAATGAAATTGAATCAGTGGACCCATCACTCTCAAGACCGGGATACAGATTCTGTATCGTTGGCCTGGCTTCACCAAGTCACCAACACCATCAGAAGCTGCAGCTATGTGCGGCTCTAAAGTCACCAACACCATCAGAAGCTGCAGCTATTTGCAGCTCTACATGACATAGCTGGCCTCTGCAGTTTCTTTGACCTCTTCAACGGCATCTGCTTTTGCCTCGCCCGTTTCTTTCGTTTCTGGATTTGGTTCTGCTGCTTCTGCTGCCTTGGCGTCTTCTGCTGCTGGAGCAGCCTGCAAACAGAAGAGACATGCATTGGACATACATCCAACCACAGAAAAACAACTTAAAAACAACCATCACAAGAAAAATCCACCAAGGAACTCGGGGACAAAGACGGACAAAACCCATTCATTCACAAATTTGGATGCTACAATAATGGTGGAACATATCTCTACAAGTAAGATAAAGAACGCACCAGAACCCAAACAGCTTTGGGTTATGCCAGTTATGCCTGCTCTGCTACTGGGCTCTTTCCTTTGCCTTTTGATGGCCCTTTTGCTGGTCCCTTTCCGGGTCCTTTGGCTGCAACCGCAGGTGCCTGTCAGCGCACGGACACAGATACTTTGAAACTGAATGAAACGCTGGTAGACTGAAGCGGAAACTAAATGAAATTGAATCAGTGGACCCATCACTCTCAAGAGCGGGATACAGATTCTGTATCGTTGGCCTGACTTCACCAAGTCACCAACACCAGAAGCTGCAGCTATGTGCAGCTCTACATGACATAGCGACAATGCTGGCCTCTGCAGTTTCTTTGACCTCTTCAACGGCATCTGCTTTTGCCTCGCCCGTTTCTTTCGTTTCTGGATTTGGTTCTGCTGCTTCTGCTGCTTTGGCGTCTTCTGCCGCTGGAGCAGCCTGCAAACACAAGAGACAGACATTGGACATACATCCAACCACAGAAAAACAACATAAAAACAACCATCACAAGAAAAATCCACCAAGGAAGCCGGGGACAAAGACGGACAAAACCCATTTACAAGCTTGTGGACTGCTGTGGACTGCAAAGCAACACGTAATGACACATCTACAAATTTGGATGCTGCAAAGTAGGATAAAGAACGCACCAGAACCCAAACAGCTTTGGGTTATGCCAGTTGTGCCTGCTCTGCTGCTGGGCTCTTTCCTTTGCCTTTTGATGGCCCTTTTGCTGGTCCCTTTCCGGGTCCTTTGGCTGTAACCGCAGGTGCCTGTCAGCGCACGGACACAGATACTTTGAAACTGAATGAAACGCTGGTAGACTGAAGCGGAAACTAAATGAAATTGAACCAGTGGACCCATCACTCTCAAGAGCGGGATGCAGATTCTGTATCGTTGGCCTGACTTCACCAAGTCACCAACACCATCAGAAGCTGCAGCTAAGTGCAAATCTACATGACATAGCTGGCCTCTGCAGTTTCTTTGACCTCTTCAACGGCATCTGCTTTTGCCTCGCCCGTTTCTTTCGTTTCTGGATTTGGTTCTGCTGCTTCTGCTGCTTTGGCATCTTCTGCCGCTGGAGCAGCCTGCAAACACAAGAGACAGACATTGGACATACATCCAACCACAGAAATACAACTTAAAAACAACCATCACAAGAAAAATCCACCAAGGAAGTCGGGGACAAAGACGGACAAAGCCCATTTACAAGCTTGTGGAATGCTGTGGACTGCAAAGCAACACGTAATGACACATCTACAAATTTGGATGCTGCAAAGTAGGATAAAGAACGCACCAGAACACAAACGGATTTGGGTTATGCCAGTTATGCCTGATCTGCTGCTGGGCTCTTTCCTTTGCCTTTTGATGGCCCTTTTGCTGGTCCCTTTCCGGGTCCTTTGGCTGTAACCGCAGGTGCCTGTCAGCGCACGGACACAGATACTTTGAAACTGAATGAAACGCTGGTAGACTGAAGCGGAAACTAAATGAAATTGAACCAGTGGACCCATCACTCTCAAGAGCGGGATGCAGATTCTGTATCGTTGGCCTGACTTCACCAAGTCACCAACACCATCAGAAGCTGCAGCTAAGTGCAAATCTACATGACATAGCTGGCCTCTGCAGTTTCTTTGACCTCTTCAACGGCATCTGCTTTTGCCTCGCCCGTTTCCTTCGTTTCTGGATTTGGTTCTGGTGCTTCTGCTGCTTCTGCTGCTTTGGCATCTTCTGCCGCTGGAGCAGCCTGCAAACACAAGAGGCAGACATTGGACATACATCCAACCACAGAAAAACAACTTAAAAACAACCATCACAAGAAAATCCACCAAGGAAGTCGGGGATAAAGACGGACAAAACCCATTTACAAGCTTGTTGACTGCTGTGGACTGCAAAGCAACACGTAATGACACATCTACAAATTTGGATGCTGCAAAGTAGGATAAAGAACGCACCAGAACACAAACAGCTTCGGGTTATGCCAGTTATGCCTGCTCTGCTGCTGGGCTCTTTCCTTTGCCTTTTGATGGCCCTTTTGCTGGTCCCTTTCCGGGTCCTTTAGCTGTAACCGCAGGTGCCTGTCAGCACATGGACACAGATACTTTGAAACTGAATGAAACGCTAGTAGACTGAAGCGGAGACTCAATGACATTGAATCAGTGGACCCATCACTCTCAAGAGCGGGATACAGATTCTGTATCGTTGGCCTGACTTCACCAAGTCACCAACACCATCAGAAGCTGCAGCTATGTGCGGCTCTAGTCACCAACACCATCAGAAGCTGCAGCTATTTGCAGCTCTACATGACATAGCGACATAGCTGGCCTCTGCAGTTTCTTTGACCTCTTCAACGGCATCTGCTTTTGCCTCGCCCGTTTCTTTCGTTTCTGGATTTGGTTCTGCTGCTTCTGCTGCTTTGGCATCTTCTGCCGCTGGAGCAGCCTGCAAACACAAGAGACAGACATTGGACATACATCCAACCACAGAAATACAACTTAAAAACAACCATCACAAGAAAAATCCACCAAGGAAGTCGGGGACAAAGACGGACAAAGCCCATTTACAAGCTTGTGGAATGCTGTGGACTGCAAAGCAACACGTAATGACACATCTACAAATTTGGATGCTGCAAAGTAGGATAAAGAACGCACACGACACACAGAAACTTTGAAACTGAATGTAACGCTAGTAGACTGAAGCGGAGACTCAATGACATTGAATCAGTGGACCCATCACTCTCAAGAGCGGGATACAGATTCTGTATCGTTGGCCTGACTTCACCAAGTCACCAACACCATCTATCAAAGCCACCAACTTCTATCAAAATTTATTACCTGAATTCACAAGCCACCAACTCACCAACACTATTGGAAAGTGCAGCTATGTGCAACTCTACCACAGGACATAGCTGGCCTCTGCACTTTCTTTGACCTCTGCGACGGCCTCTGCTTTTGCCTCGCTTGGTTCTGGCGCTGCTTCTTCTTTGGGCTCTTCTATGGCTGGAGCAGCCTGCGAACATCTGCGAACCAAAGAACTGACATACATCGAAAATAATTGGGACAAGCACAAGGGAAACCACCCAGACAGGTCTGAGCATTCCGAAGACAAAGGCTCAATCAGGCTCATTACAAGGTCATTACAAGGTCATGGACAGAGCAAGTTAACACATCATGTTAGACACTCAATAGTGGATGCTGCACTATTTCAACATCTCTCTCGAAAAATGAAAAACACACCAGAACCCAAACAGATTTGGTTATGCCTGCTCTGCTGCTGGGCTCTTTCCTTTTCCTTTTGGTGGCCCTTTCGATGGGCCCTTTGTTGCAACCACAGGTGCCTGAGAGTGCATCGACACCGAAGATACTGAAAATGAATACGGTTGAATTTGGTTAAATAACATGCATGTGAATGAAACTGATGCAAACTGAATC